AAAAAAAAAAAAAAAAAAAAAAAAGAAACGAATCAAGTTGTGCATTTGTAATTTGTGCACTTAATCATTAACAAAAATGAAAACACAAAAACAGCGTTGTCTTGCTCTGGTGTTCTCGTCACAGTAGTGGCCACTCCTTGATATTCTCTTGCTTACTTCTCCACTGTGTTATTTCTTACACACACTACACAGACACACATGCATGCACACACACACACACACAACATACACACATGTCTACACACACACACATAACACACACACTGGGAGGCAAGCTCCATGACGACAGGCACATAATCCATCACTGTGACTGCTCTGCCTGCCAGCATCAGAACAGGGTGTGTCACACAGTAGGCACTTAATAAATGCTTTCCAGCCTGGGCAATATGGTGAGACCCTGTCTCTGCAAAAAATTAAAAACATTAGCCAGGCGTGGTGGCACACACCTGTAGTCTCAGCTACTCAGGAGGCTGAGGCAGGAAGATGGCTTGAGTCTGGGAGGTGGAGGCTGCAGTGAGATAACTGTACACTGCACTCCAGCCTGGGTGACAGAGACCCTGTCCCTAAAAGTAAATAATAAATGCAGGCCGGGCGTGGTGGCTCACGGTTGAAATCTCAGCACACTGGGAGGCCAAAGAGGGTGGATCATGAGGTCAGGAATTCAAGACCAGCCTGGCCAACATGGTGAAACCTTGTCTCTACTAAAAATACAAAAATTAGCCAGGCATGGTGGTGTGCGCCTGTAGTCCCAGCTACTCGGGAGGCTGGGGCAGGAGAATCACTTGAACCCGGGAGGCGGAGGTTGTAGTGAGCCAAGATCGAGGCACTGTACTCCAGCCTGAGCAACAGAAGGAAACTCTGTCTCAAAAAAAAAAAAAATAATAATAATAATAATAATAATAATAAATGCCTGCATGCTGTGTAAAAAGTAGAGGGCTGCCTGGCTTCCCACAGGTGTAGTGATGCCTGGGTATGAGGGTCTCGCCCACCTCTAGGAGCCCGGCCTGGGGGCTGACCCGGGCCTCACCTTCCTCTGCATCTTCTCCAGCAGCTTGCTCTTGGCCCGCACTTCCTCCTGGATGGAGTCGTAGACGTTGAGCAGCACCCAGTCCCCGCTGTCCTCATCCGCATTCTGCAGGGCGGCCACCAGCTGCTTCCTGCGCTCGTCTGCGTACCGCTTGCGCCGCTTGTGCTTCTCCTTCAGGTCCTTGTTCTTGGCCTGCTCTCCACCCACCACCTGCCGCTCCAGCAGCTGCAGACTGCCGGCGCCGCGGAGAAAGCCAGTGAGACCATCTCTGCCCATCACCGAGCACCTGCCATCCAGCAGGCTCCAGGCTATGCGTGGGCCCACCAAATCCTTCCAACAACCCCACTTCACGGGGAGGGAAACCAAGGCTCGGCCACAGGACGCTGGTTGCTCAGGGTCACAACTAGATTCCTGCCCAACTCCCTGCCTGTGCACTCGACTGCAGTGGTGGGTCAGGGGGGGAATCTTCCTGTGGGCTCAGCTAACCCATCCCTCACCTGCTAACCTCCCAAGCTGCGGGTCCCCACAGCTGAGTGGGCTTGTCCTGTGTCTGAGGTCACTGGCATGATAAGAAGAACCCTGGGCTGTGAAAAATGCTCAATATACTCAGTGCACAATATTTAATCAGGCAGGATCATGTACAATACATGGTTAAGACTATTTATGTCCAAAATGCTCAAAAATGGTTAGAGTTTTGTCCTTTAAAGGTACAAATTTGGCGGAGCACAGTGGCTGGCTCCTGTAATCCCAGCACTTTGGGAGGCTGAGGTGGGCAGATCACCTGAAGTCAAGAGTTTGAGACCAGCCTGGCCAACATGGTGAAACCCCGTCTCTACTAAAAAATATAAAAATTAGCTGGGCGCCTGTGGCAGGTGCCTGTAAGTCCAGCTATTCGGGAGGCTGAGGAAGGAGAATTGCTTGAACTCAGGCGGCAGAGGTTGCAGTGAGCCGAGATCATGTCACTGCACTCCGGCCTAGGGGACAAGAGCGGGACCTCATCTCAAAAAAAAAAAAGGTACACATTTTAGGCTGGGTGCGGCGGCTCACACCCACAATCCCAACACTTGGGGAGGCTGAGGCAGGTAGACTGCTTGAGACCAACCTGGGCAACATAGAGAGATTCCATCTCTACCAAAAAAAATAAAAATCAATAAAAATGTACTAATGCCAAAAAAAAAAAAAGGTACAAATTTTAAATACAGAGAAAGACTTATGGGAACTCCCACCTCATTGGCTAATGAAGCGCCACAAACACGCTTCAAATCTCACCTCTTTCCAAAGGGAGTGGGTAGGTGGTACCCAAAGGCTCACTAAGGATTTACAGACGGAGGAGAGGATCATGCTTGGGAGAAAATGGAGCTTTGCAACCCGAGCAGCCAGGCTCTGGCAGCTTCTGGCTTGGCTCCATGCTCCATGGCAGCCGGCACAGAAAGAAGTCACGTCTACAGCACCGCTCTGTTTAAAATCCTGCTGTGGGGCTGGGTGCGGTGGCTCATGCCTGTAATCCCAGCACTTTGGGAGGCCGAGGCGGGTGGATCATGAGGTCAAGAGTTTGAGACCAGCCTGACCAACATGGTGCAACCCCGTCTCTACTAAAAATACAAAAATTAGCTGGGTGTGGTGGTGCACACCTGTAATCCCAGCTACTTGGGCGGCTGAGGCAGAAGAATTGCTTGAACCCAGGAGGCAGAGGTTGCAGTGAGCTGAGATTGCACCACTGAACTCCAGCCTAGGTGACAGAGCGAGACTCCATCCCAAAAAAAAAAAAAAAAAAAATCCTGCTGTGGGCCTCCATCAGAATGAAGCCCAAGCACTCGAGGAGGGCACACAGAGTCCTCCCTCCATCTCCCCTGCACCCCCACCCGCTCAGTCCAGCTTCACTCACTGCTCGCACATCTCTAAAAGCCCCCGCCAGGTCCCACCTCCACCCCTTTGCAGGCGCTGCGCTGTCTCTAGGATGCCGCCCCTGCAGCAAACCTTATTCCTGTTTCCTCTTCTGTGAAGGCTCCCAGCCTTCCCTCCACACCACACTAAAAACAGCCAGGACACGTGCCAAGTGTGTGCTACGTGCCCGGCACGGGGCTGCCACACTACAGGTATTGCCTCATTTTCACCCTCACCGCAAGCTTCTCACTCGGGGACTGGTATAGCCCATTCTGAAGATGGGCAGCGAAGGCACAGAGAGGTTTCAAGTCGGCCCGAGGTGGCAGAGCTAGTGGAGGAGGCAGGCTGGCAAGTGCTGGAGAGCAGGACTCTCCTGGCCACACGTGTCTTCTGCCGTGGCCTGGGGGCCCTTGGGGGTGAGGCAGCAGCTCACTCATCCTTGGGTCCTGTGTCCCACGCTCAGGAGTTGCTCAGTTAAGTGTTTGAACTGTGGTCTCTGGACTGGGTCTCCCCCTGCTGAACCCCTGGATGACCGTGGCATGGAGGTCAGGCTGACATCATCATTAACAGAAGTGATAACCAAGGCTCAGAAAAGTTAAGTAACCTGACAAAGCCACACAGCAAGTGAGGAAAGCCCAGCTCCGCACGTGGTCCCAGAGAGGGCCTGCGGATGGCTTGTCCTGTGGGTGAGTGGGTCTCACATCAGGGAGGGCCCTGGAGGCCAGGGGGCTGGGGGCTCAGCTGGGACAGGAGAAAAGCCTGCAACCCCCTGACCTGGGACTCCTGAAACCTGAAGGTGGGGCCCTGCCAAGGCCGGGAGGGTGAGACGTCCTCACTTTCTCCCTAGAGTGGCTGCTCCCCAGTAGGCCTGACAAGGGATGCTGGTGGCAGCCTGTGGAGCTTCCGGAGCAGAGCCCTGCCCACCCAGTCCCCACTGCACCTGGAGAGGGGATCAGGGCTGCCCCACCCCATTAGAAGGGAGAGCTGGGAAGAGCTATGGCACCCCCACTCCATCCTGGAAGGCAGCCCCTTCCCACCCCCACCGGCTCCCGCCAGCCCCGTGCTCTGCTGCTTACCGGGCCAGCACTTGCTGCTGGTCCGCTACGGGCAGCACTGCCACCTCCATGCCCATGTTTTCCCTCCTCACGTCGGCCATGGCTGGCGGGGGCTGAGGCTGAGCCCCCGGGGCCATTGGAGCCTCAGCCTCTAACCCCATGCCAGGCTCTGCTGTCGGCACCATCTCCAAGGCCACTTCCGAGACCAGATCCGCCTCCTGAGTGTGAAGAGAAACCCAGGTGGAGGTGGGAAGGCCACCCCCGTGATGCCCCCCCGGTGAATCTGTCTCAGAACACGGCCATTCCGCGGGCTGCAGCCGGGACACATCACCTCTGGCTCGGGGACATCAGTGACACAAAAACACGCCCTATTAAGTTCTTTTTGTTGTTGTTGTTTCTGAGGCACGGTCTCACTCTGTCACCCAGGCTGGAGTGCAATGGTATGGTCTCAGCTCCCTCCAACTTCCGCCTCCCAGGCTCAAGCGATTCTCCTGCCTCAGCCTCCTGAGTAGCTGGGATTACAGGACCTGCCACCATGCCCGGCTAATTTTTGTATTTTTAGTAGAGACAGGGTTTCACCATGTTGGCCAGGCTGGTCTTGAAATCCTGATCTTGTGATCCGCCTGCCTCGGCCTCCCAAAGTGTTGGGATTACAGGCGTGAGCCACTGCGCCCAGGCCCCTGTTGAGTTTCTTACTGCTGCCATTCCCACTGATGCCCCCAAGCTAGGACCTCCCACAATCCAGTCTCGACAGGCAGCTGGTGCCATCTTAAAATAGAAAGCAATGGCATCCCGTTCCTGGTGAGAGCACTGCACGACTTCCCGTCGTGTTTGCAGAAAAGGCCAGCTTCCTCCTACCAGCTCCCCACCTCCACAGCCTCCCCTGCCACGCTGGCCTCCATTTCCATTGCTGAGAAAGTCAAGGTCCTTCCGGCCATAGGACCTTGGCACTTGCTGTCCCCTCTGCTTGCTGCTTCCCCTGCCGCTCCTTCATGCCTGGGTCCCACTCAGAGTCACTTCTAGCCCCGGCTGCCCTGGCCTGGCACCATCCGTGCCACGCCCTGCTGAGAGTCTGCCCCAGGCCCCATGCACAGCCCGCACTCAAGTCCAGATTGTCTTTCTATAAACCTGGGGAGATTGAAAGCCTCCTCTCGCTCCCCTGGGGTGTTCAAACCGGGCTCCCTGATGGTGTCTTAGGGGCCACTAGCCCTGACCTGCAGCCCTCATCCTCTGTACACACTGGGCCTCAATTCCTTTACACAAAGGCCACCAAGGCTAAGGAAGCTTTGAAAGTCACCATCTAGAACAACAGGACTTTTTCACTCAATAAGAAGACAGTTCCTCCCACTGGACACTGCCTGGCCACGGGACATGGGCCACATGCCTGGGGAAGGCTGGGGTTGTTATTCTAAGCTCATGGATGAGAAAACCGAGGCACGGCAGGCAGGGGACAAGCTGGAGCTTCCCAGGAAGGTGAAGAGAACCCCGCCCGCCACACTGAGGGCCTGGCCCCGGGAGGTACTCACAGGCCTGGGCAGGAAGTCATCAGCTGCCTCGGCTTCAGGCCTGGCATCCCCAGGCTCCAGCAGGTCTGTCAGCACAGGGTCCTGGGAGGAGAGAGGGGTGGGGGGAGGAAGAAGGCTGATTTGGGCCAGAATCATCCTCTACTCCCCCACCCTAGGCCTCACTTCAACTCCCCAAGGCCGCCCACCACCCCTCAACCTCCCCTGCCTGTCACTCTTGAGAGAAGGGGCACAAAGTGGGAAAGAGATGAGGGGGAGAACAGTGAAGACAGCAAACGGGGAGACAGGCGTGTGGGGGGCACCTGCTGTGTGCCAGGAGCCTTGCCTGCATCTGCTCATCTGAAGCATCCCCATTTTACAGATGAAAAAACCGAGCACAGAAAAATCACACAACCAAGGAAGTGGCAGAGCTGGGATGTCTCTAAATAAACACACACAGACACAGACACACACACGTGCATGCACACACACACGCACACATGTGCATGCACACACATGCACACACACGTGCATGCACACACACACGCATGCACAGACACACGTGCGCACACAGACACACATACACACACACACAAACACACACACACTCACAGACACACACAGACACGCACACAGACACACGCACACACAGAGACACACACAGACACAGACACACACACACACAAACACACGCACACACACAGACTCACGCACACACACATGCGCGCGCGTGCACACACACACACACACACACACACACACGGGAAAGGAAAGCAGAGGACAGAGAGAAGAAAAGATGACTCTTGTTTTTCTTTGAGACAGAGTCTTGCTCCTGTCGCCCAGGCTGGAGTGCAGTGGCATGATCTCGGCTCACTGCAACCTCTGCCTCCCAGGTTCAAGTGATTCTCGGGCCTCAGCCTCCTGAGTAGCCAGGACTACAGGCGCCAGCCACCACACCTGGCCAATTTTTGTATTTTTAGTAGAGACAGGGTTTCACCATCTTGGCCAGGCCAGTCTTGAACTCCTGACCTCAGGTAATCCACCTACCTCAGCCTCCCAAATTGCTGGGATTACAGGCATGAGCCACCATGCCTGGCCAAGAGGAACATTTTTTAAAAACAAGAGGACTGTTGAAAAGGGAGAAGATGTTGGTCAGAGGGGCAGGGTGGAGGAAGGGCAGTGTCCCTGGGGCCTCATGGTCACTGAAAGGTGGCTGGATCCCCACAGACCCCCCCACCCAGTCACTATGGAGCTCACGAGCCAGTGAGGGTTGCCCAAGGCTCCTGCAGGCCCGGAAGCTCAGTGTAACCATGGCAACTGGGCAAATGTCCTGTACAGCTGTCCCTCCGTCGGGCAGAACAGGTGCCCAACTGGCATCACCTTGCATCTCGACCCCAACTTCCTTATTGAATTACAGAGCACGAGACAGAGCTTCTCCTCCCCAGACCCCTGGACCCCAGTGCCCTGAACCAGCCACCAGTGCCAGAGCCACAGCGGACACAGTGGAACCACAGCCACTGTGCAGAGCAGCAGAGGCCATGTGTGTGGACAGTGTGTGGACAGCGTGCTCTGGGCCCCTGGCAAGCTCTGGCCGCTCCGTGTTCACATCCACGCATGACATCAGCTACCTGCACGGGGACCTTGGGGATGTCTGCCTGGGGTGCGTCTGTCCTGGCTGCGGTGGAGGAGAGTCTGGCCAGCTTGGCTTCCACCTCGGCAAATGGGTCCCACAGGCCTAGTAACCCCTGCAGGGGCTCCTCCTGCAGCTCCTCTTCCTGGAGGTAGTTCTGCTCCCCCAGCAGATGCCCAGCGGACTCCTGCCCGAGGCACTCATCCAGGGAGTACCTGCTCCCAGACTGCACAATGGGCGTGCAGACCTCCACGTTGGAGGGCTCCTCGGGCCCAGGGAAAGCCTCAGACACAGAGGTTTCTTCAAGCATGGATGACTCGCTGGAGCCCAGAGAAATCTCAGACTTGGAGGGCTCCACCTTGGGCAGCTCCGCAAACCTGGAGGAAAGCTCAGTCTTGGAGACATCGTCACTGGGCAGAGGGTCAGCTGTGGAGAAGACCTCGGGCTTCGCCACCGTCTCATACTGGAAAGCAGGCGGGTACTCAGACCTGCTGGCAAACTCAGCCCTAGGCATGACCTTAGCCTTGGACATGACCTCAGCCTTGGACATGACCTCAGCCTTGTAGAGGACTCCCGCCTGCAGGACAGCCTCTGCAAAATAGAGAACTTCCTTTAGGCTTTTAAAGGGTAAGAAGGAGACCCTTCCCTAGAAGGTGGCCCCAAGCCCACTGTTTCTAAGACCAGCTTAAGAGTCAGAGCCTCCTAGGCGCCCCCAGAGGCTGGCTACAGCCTGCCTGCCTTCCCATCTCTGCCCCATCAGAACCCAAACCCTGCCTCCTTCCACCTCTTCCAGGAAGCCTTCCCTGACCAATACTGATTTCTCCAATTTTTGACCTCCACAACAACCAAGTGCTGGACTCTTACATCACACCCTGCCTTGGGACCACTCTTTACACACTGGCAGGCTTCCTGGGGCCTCGTTGCCTTCCAAGGCTGAGAGCTCAGCAGATTTCATGCCCAGGTGCCCTAGGGGCCCCCGCTGGAGCGCCCAGCACAGGGCTCTTGTCCACTGGATATGCTAGATCCACGGGAGCTAAATGAATGAATGCTGTGGATGAACATCAGAGCTCCAGAAGCCAGACGATCAGCTGGAGGCCTCATATTCAATCCGGACTAAAGGGAACACTCCGAAAAACAGAAAATTCCAGAATCTGCCCCCTCCTCTTCTCCTGGGTCTCCTCCAGGAGTGGGTCTCCCTCCCAGCTGAGGCAGGGCTGCGTTCACATGGGCCCCTTACCGCTCCCGCTCAGGGGCTCCTGGCGCCTCTCTTACCTCCCACCCGTTTCTTTATTGCTGTGTCCCAGGCCCCCCAAGAGGGTCTTGATTTCCCTTTTGCTGAAATATGGCACCCACTCCCCAGCTAAATGGCCTGGATCTCTCTCAGCCTTGTTTTCCACATGGTTATGGGCGGATTCAGGGAGTCCTACCTCGCTGGATTGGGGAGAGGCTCAGTGAGGGGGTGCAGGTGAAGCACCCACATGGTACCCAGCATGCAGTAACGCATGACAAGCGGTACCGACGGTGCGATCAGTATCGTCATCTTACAGGCCTGGATTCTACACTGTCCATGAGTGCTGGGAAGTCTGGGCTTCTGGGCAGCTGGTGTTGAATGACACTGGTGTGAGAGAACATCCTAGGATGGCGAAAAGAAGACAAAAACTAAAGGCCGGGCGCGGTGGCTCACGCCTGTCATCCCAGCACTTTGGGAGGCCGAGGCAGGTGGATCGCTTGAGCCCAGGAGTTCAAGACCAGCCTGGCCAACATGACAAAACCCCGTCTCTACTGAAAACACAAAAATTAGCCGGGTGTGGTAGTGGACATCTGTAATCCCAGCTACTCAGGAGGCTGAGGCATGAGAATTGCTTCAACCTGGGAGGCGGAGGTTGCAGTGAGTCAAGATTGTGCCACTGCACTCCACCCTGGGCAACACAGCAAGACTTCATGTCAGAAAAAAATTTTTTTTTTTTTTTTAAAAAGAAGACAGCCGGGCGCAGTGGCTCATGCCTGTAATCCTAGCACTTTGGGAGGCTGAGGTGGGTGGATCACCTGAGGTCAGGAGTTCAAGACCAGCCTGACCATCATGGTGAAACCCCATCTTTAAAAAAAAGAAAAAAAAAAAAAGAAGAAGAAGACAAAAACTTCCAGACAGGTAAAAAGTTGTTGCTAAGGATTAAATCCTTATTATGGGATGTGGTTACTTTGGTAACAGAGAGGCTCAAAAGTAAGAGACACTATGGAAAGCACAGAAATGTGGGGTTGGCCTCTAAAGAAAGGGTGGCACGTCATCGCTCACAGTCTGCCTTGAGCTGGGGCTCAGCCTGCGGCTAACCCATCCCAGTGCAGTGTTGTGGGTGAGAACACTAGCTCTGGGGCCAGACTGCCTGGGTTCAGATCCTGACTCTCCTTAGCAGCTGCGTGACCATGGGCAAGTTATCCTCTCTGTGCCTCAGTTTCCTCATCTATAAAATGAGCATAATTGTGGTACCTACCTTGCTGGACCCCTGTGAGGATGAAACAGACCCGAGCTTTGGGTGTGGAGAATGTTCTGTGACGTAGTTACTACAGTGAGATGGAAAGAGGCCACCTTCCCTCGAGACAGCCCCGGGGGACAAGGAGGACCCACCTGTCTCCTTCCGCAGGTTCTCCTGCAGTGTGGACAGCCTGACATCATATGAGTTGCGCATGGCAGTGATGTCTTCTTCCAGCCTGGCCCGAGACTCCTGCTCAGCCTTATAGTCGGCTTTCAGGCGGGCCAGGCGCTCTTCATATTCCTGGGAGTGGGAGGGGTGGGCCAGAGGGCAGGCAGCGTTTTATCATCATTTTGAAACTCACCTTTCAGAATTGTTATTTTTTGTTATTCAAACAATACAGAACATGTAAGTAAGCCAAAAGAATCCAATGGTACAACACTGTGATAATTACTTCCTGGTGAAGACTTTTCTAAACTGTTCTTGATGCTTTTTGGTTTTGTTTTGTTTCTGAGACAGGGTCTCACTCTGTCCCCCAGGCTGGAGTGCAATGGCATAATCATGGCTCATTCCAGCCTCAAACTCCCGGGCTCAAGCAATCCTCCTGCCTCAGCCTCCCAAATAGCTGGGACTATGGGCATGCCACCCTCAGCTAATTTTTTTTAAAAAACTTATAGGCTGGGCCCAGTGGCTCACACCTGTAATCCCAGCACTTTGGGAAGCTGAGGCAGATCACCTGAGGCCAAGAGTTTGAGACCAGCCTGGCCAACATGGTGAAACCCTGTCTCTACTAAAAATACAAAAATTAGCCTAGCATGGTGGCGTGCCTACAATCTCAAC